TCCACCTGTTTCTGCCCCCGAATTCTGGGATTAAAGGTGTGCACCACCACCACCTGGCCCACCAGCAATGGAGGAGTGTTCCTCTTTCTCCACATCTCTCCAGCATAGACTGTTATTGTTATTATTGATTTTAGCCCTTCCAACAGGAGTAAGATGGTATCTCAGAGTGGTTTTGAGTTGCATATCCCTGATGGCTAAGGATATTGAGCACTTTCTTAACTGCCTTTCAGCCATTTTAGATTCCTCTGTTGAGAATTCTCTATTTAGTTCCTCACCCCACTTTTTAATTTCATTGTTTGGTATTTTGGTGACTAGCTTCTTGAGTTCATTCTATGTTTTGATGATCAGCCCTCTATCAGATGTGGGGTTGGTGAATATCTTTTCCCAGTCTGTGGGCTGCCTTTAATCTTGTTGACTGTATCCTTTGCCTTACAGAAGCTTCTCAATTTCAGGAGGTCCCATTTATTAATTGTGGATCTCAGTGTCTGTGCTACTGGTGTTATGATCAGGAAGTAGTCTCCTGTACTAATTCATTAGAGGGTACTTACTACTTTCTCTTCTAAGAGGTTCAGTGTGGCTGAATTTATGTTGAAGTCCTTGATCCATTTGGACTTAAGTTTTGTGCATGGCGATGGAAGTAGATCTGCAGTCTTCTACATGCCAGCATCCAGTTATGCCAGCACCATTTGTTGAAGATGCTTTCTTTATTCCATCATATAAATTTAGCTTCTTTGTCAAAAATCAGGTGTTCATAGGTGTGTGTGTTATTTGTTTTGGTTTTTGTTTTTTTGGTTTTTCGAGACAAGGTTTCCCTGTGGCTTTGTAGGTTGTCCTGGAACTAGCTCTTGTAGACCAGGCTGGTCTTGAACTCACAGAGATCGGCCTGCCTCTGCCTCCCAAGTGCTGGGATTCAAGGCGTGCGCCACCAACACCCGGCTCATAGGTGTGTGTGTTAATATCAGGGTTTTCAACTCGATTCCATTGGTCTACCTGTCTATTTCTGTTCCAATACCAAGCTGTTTTCAGGACTATAGCTCTATAATAGAGCTTGAAGTCAGGGATGGTTATGCCTGGGAAGTTCCTTTATTGTAGAGGTTTGTTTTGGCTATCCTGGGTCTTTTGTTTCTCCATATAAAGTTGTGTATTGTTCTTTCAAGGTCTGTGAAGAACTGTGCTGGTATTTTCACAGGGATTGCGTTCAATCTGTAGATTGCTTTTGGCAGGATTGCCAGTTTTACTATGTTGATCCTTCCTATCCAAGAGCATGGGAGATCTTTCCATTTTCTGATATCTTCTTTAATTTCTTTCTTTAAAGAGTCAAAGTTGATGGTATCTCAGTTGTTTTGATTTGCATGTCCCTGATGGCTAAGGATGTTGAGCACTTTCTTAAGTGTCTTTCAGCCATTTTAGATTCCTCTATTGAGAATTCTCTATTTAGTTCTGTACCCCACTTTTTAATCGGATTATTTGGTGTTTTGGTGACTAGTTTCTTGAGTTCTTTGTATATTTTGGAAATCAGCCCTCTGTCAGATGTGGGCTTGGGAATATCTTTTCCCATTCTGTGGGCTGCCATTTGTCTTGTTGACTGTGTCCTTTGCCTTACAGAAGCTTCTCAATTTCAGGAGGTCCCATTTATTAATTGTGGATCTCAGTGTCTGTGCTACTGGTGTTATGATCAGGAAGTAGTCTCCTGTACTAATTCATTAGAGGGTACTTACTACTTTCTCTTCTAAGAGGTTCAGTGTGGCTGAATTTATGTTGAAGTCCTTGATCCATTTGGACTTAAGTTTTGTGCATGGCGATGGAAGTAGATCTGCAGTCTTCTACATGCCAGCATCCAGTTATGCCAGCACCATTTGTTGAAGATGCTTTCTTTATTCCATCATATAAATTTAGCTTCTTTGTCAAAAATCAGGTGTTCATAGGTGTGTGTGTTATTTGTTTTGGTTTTTGTTTTTTTGGTTTTTCGAGACAAGGTTTCCCTGTGGCTTTGTAGGTTGTCCTGGAACTAGCTCTTGTAGACCAGGCTGGTCTTGAACTCACAGAGATCGGCCTGCCTCTGCCTCCCAAGTGCTGGGATTCAAGGCGTGCGCCACCAACACCCGGCTCATAGGTGTGTGTGTTAATATCAGGGTTTTCAACTCGATTCCATTGGTCTACCTGTCTATTTCTGTTCCAATACCAAGCTGTTTTCAGGACTATAGCTCTATAATAGAGCTTGAAGTCAGGGATGGTTATGCCTGGGAAGTTCCTTTATTGTAGAGGTTTGTTTTGGCTATCCTGGGTCTTTTGTTTCTCCATATAAAGTTGTGTATTGTTCTTTCAAGGTCTGTGAAGAACTGTGCTGGTATTTTCACAGGGATTGCGTTCAATCTGTAGATTGCTTTTGGCAGGATTGCCAGTTTTACTATGTTGATCCTTCCTATCCAAGAGCATGGGAGATCTTTCCATTTTCTGATATCTTCTTTAATTTCTTTCTTTAAAGAGTCAAAGTTCTTGTTTGGTTAGCATTACCCCAAGGTATTTTATGTTGTTTGTGGCAATTGTAAAGGGTGATGTTTCTCTGATTTCTTTCTCAGCCCATTTATCGTCTGTATATAGTAGGGCTACTGATTTTTTGAGTTAATCTTGTATCCTGCCATTTTGCTGAAGGTATTTATCAGCTGTAGGAGTTCCCTGGTAGACTTTTTTGGGTTACTTATGTAAACTACCATATCATCAGAGCAACACAAATTAATCATATCATAGTTTTGTTATCTCACTGTTCTGTAGTCCATGTAGGTTCCATTGAGCTAAAATCAGAACCATGTTTTTCCCAGGGGCTGTAGTGAGTTATCTGTGCCCTTGCTTATTGAGGTTGGCACATTTCAATCCTTAGTGACCGTAGGTTACCTTGCCGGCTGTTGCCCGATTGCCCCTGCTTCTGATGCCTCCTGAATTCTTTGGCCCCCAGTAAAGGAGAAAGGAACTCTCTTACACTGAATGGCTCTGTCTCCTGCCTGCCTCACCTTTTTTTCCCCCTTACATTGGGCCTAGGAAAATTATTCATTATAAACTCCATAATTTAAGACCCTTCTCTCTAAATTCATCTGTACAATTCTGTCACATACTGCCTTAGGCATTAGAATATGGATGTCTTTGTGCAGCCATCATTCTGCCTACCACACCCTCTCTAGGGGGCACTAATCAGTGTGTGTCACTCCTTCCTGTTCTCCTCAGCACTTTCTTCCCCTTGAAATCAGAGTACCTCAGATCAGGCACAGGTTGAGATCCGGGTCTCTACTGCTTGCTTGTATGTGCTTGTCCTCTCCTCTGACCACTCCACCTACCCTTAAGGTCCCAGACCACAGTTGGCCAGTTTCCTGGCATCAGAGCAATTGCGTTTTCAAGTCTCTTTCAGCAGCAGTGGCACCTCCACTTTTGAGTAGGTGAAGGAGGGCCAGGTCTGCTGTGCAGGGCCAGCAAGCCATTGTGTAGGGCCAGTGAGCAGGAGTACCCATTAAACCCTGTGGGGTACAGAGGGGACCTCCCAAGAGGCAGGTGAAGCTTCGTCTTCAAGTTCCTTCACTTTCAAACCTTGAAAAGGGCCCAGGGACTATGTCCACAAGGACATGTTGTTGTGGAGAACCTGCAAAATTAAGATAACCTATCAACTGGCAAGATGGCCTACTGGGCATAGGGGCTTCCAATCAGTCCTGATGACCTGAGTTTGACCCCTGGAATCCACACGTAGAAGGAGAGAACCAACTTCTGCAAGCTGTTCTCTGTCACATGTACACACCATGGCAAACATGTACTTGTACACTTGCACGTGTACACACACACATACACACACACACACACTCAAAATAAATAAATCAACTTACGATGCCCTAAATCTGTTCACTTGAAATCTCTGTCCTTTTGCACTTGGATTCCTCTAAAGCCGGCTTCCAATATGTCAAATGCCAGATGGAGAACGATGGAGGAAGTTGCCCAACATTGACCTCCGGCCTCCACAGGCTTACCTTTCACACATGGAAACACCATATACACGCACAAAATTTAACAACACTACCAGCAACCCATGTGTAACATTTATGCAACACTGTCAATAATGAGTTAGGAAAAACAAAATAACTTTCCAAACAATTAACAATTAAAACACGAATTTCCATGTTAGGGAGAAGGCTAAATTATCTTCCTAGTCTCAGTATGACAATATTCACCTCCCAAACTATAAGTGGGTCAACCTGTTTTAAAAAATTGAATTTTAGCTGGGCAGTGGTGGTGCACACCTGTAATCCCAGCACATGGGAGGCAGAGGCAGGCACATCTCTGAGTTCGAGGTCAGCCTGGTCTATAGAGTGAATTCCAGGACAGCCAAGGCTACACAGAGAAACTCCGTCTCAAACAAACAAACAAACAAACAAAAACAAACAAAAGAAAAACAACAACAACAAAAAAAGATTTTTCTTTTCTAAAACACAGGACTCTAAAAATGCCTATTCCCATTCAACCTGGATCACCCATGGATCCAGGGAGGAAAGAGCGAGGGGTCCACGGACCTTGGAGCCGCTTGGGCACCACAGAATGTCTGAAGTTGCTACACAAAGGCAGCTACCAGCCCTAGGTTGGGTGGGGCTCTAGGGGCCTGAGCTGGGAGTGAGGATGGGGTTAGAGTTGGGAGTCAAGGATCTAAGTAGTGGCAACCTGGAACAATGACCCCTTGGGGAGAGACTTGCAAAGCTATAGAAGGAACCAGAGCCAGCTGCTTCCTGGGGGTGGGTCCTGAGTTTATTTATCCACCTCCCTGAGATGAGATGGGCGGGCTGGAAACAAGGGGTGAGCACTACCACACTGAGAGGGCAGCGGTGCCTAGGACTACCTGCCCCCCAATCCGGTGTGGAGGGGTCTAGACAGTCCTACAGATACACAGGCTAGCACCCCAGCATGGGGCCTGGGGCCGTTCCCCACCCCAGCTGACAGTCAGAAAAAGAGAAGCTGTCTGTTATGTTGGGTCACCCAGACCGGGCGGGAGACTCTTTTATTTGAAGTTGTTGCTGGGAAGCCAGGCGCTGCAGGTGGCCCTCGATGTGGAGCAGGATGGCGTCCAGCATGTGAAGCACCCTGAGGACCAGGGTGCGGTCCGAGACGGCCACCTGCCGTTTCCAGTGTTTGCAGGAGCTGGAAGTCACCGGTGGGAGCTGAGAGTATGAGACCGAGTGAGAGTGGGAGAGGGCCAGGGGCCACAGCCACGGAGCTGGAGAGGAGGGATATGGGGTGGAGACAAAGGCTGGGAGACAGGGAACTGAGTCACTGTGGATCTACTAGGGCTTAGGTGGTCCTAGGCCTGTGGGGGTTGAACGAAGAATCGGAGTATTAAATGGGGTCAGAGGGGTCAGAGTACTGGCCCTGAGGAATGGCTAGGGATGGATTGGGTGTAGACACAGGTTCCAGGGAAATGCAAGGATAGGGCATAGGGGAGAGGACAAGGTCAGGCAGGAGGCCCACAAGGCCCTAAGCCAGGCTGATAGGAAGACATGGGCCTATGGGGCATGAGCAGAAGCAGGGACTATAGGGGACAGAAGAGAGCTGCTCTCACCGGATCCTTGGTGACCTGAGAACGCCACCGGTGCAGCATCACACGGGTGATGACCAGCATCATGGTGGTCGTGACCGTGATCCCAGCCACAGGGTAGATGCGATTTCCTCCCAGGGTCATCCAGTAACCAGGGCAGCCCAGACTGCTCCTGCAGCTATCCAGACTATTCGGTTGGCAGCCCCAGGGCTGCAAGTCCAGCCCCACTTGGTACCAGAGGGGCCGTGACCAGGCATGGCTAGGGACAAACATCACCAGCAAGGACAGTGATGGCACTAAGAACAGTGAGTACAGCATGGCTGTGGTAACTGTGAGAGGCCGGAACCCAGGTTCCTTGGCAACCGGCAAACACCCCTCCCCCAAGAGTTGGCCCCACTCTGAGGTAGCAGGTTCCAACTAGGCCCATAGCCTTTCACAGTGTAGTTTGACCAGGATGTGGGGGCTGAGAAAATGATGCAGGTCTAGAGCCTGGGTTCCATTCTCCCAAGTGGATCAGGTATAAAAGGAACACCTCTTACATGTTGGCCTCCAACCCACCTGTCATCCCTCCCTAATCTAAGCACCCCGATACCTCTGCCTTTAAGGTTCAGTGCTCTTTACTGGGCTAGCAACTGCCAGCCTAGTAAAACAGTGCAGGGGAGCTACCCAACACCCGGCCCAGGCCCTCAGCATTGAGCACATTCCTCAAAGGTCCCTGCTGGCTGCTGCCCTGCCTCACCAGCCCTCCCTCAACACTCTTCCTTGTTCTAGGAGCACGGTTTCCCTTCTAGAAAGTCACCTTCTCAAGGTTAGAGCTTCATGCACTGCCAGCACCCTCCCAGGACTACCTAGGGTCATATTTATCTAATATGGGCCTATGCTATTTTCTCTCGAGCATTTCTGGCTACATTCGTCTTTATTCTCAAACTATAAGAGCACACCAACTCCCTCCTAGCACCCAAGGCCAGCCTGACAGGTTCCTGTTTGAAGTCTGCCTGTGGTTCCAAGTCTTCATTCAAACAATGTTTACGGAGCACTCAAGCCCGGTGCCAGAATGCAGCATGACAGAACAGACAAAAAGCTCTGCCTTCCTGGGCTAAGGGTTTGGCGAGATCAGAGACAGCTTGTAAACACGATGGTGCCCCGGCATGGGCAAATGCCATGATAAAAATAGGGGCAGGCAAGGGTGCCTGGGTGATTTGGAGGGCAGGGAGCCTTGGTTTACTGTTGGGAACTTGCCCAGTGCCTAGCCCTGAGCCTGGCACCTGCAACGTACCAGATGAATAGTGAAATTCATGTGTTCTGGGCAGGTGATGTGGCATTGTTCTAGCCATTTCCATGGGCCTGCCTGGTTAACTCACCAGATAACTCAAGAGGCTGTCGTTGCCTCACTGATCAGGAGCCCACCATTCTTCCCACCACGGATCAGTGGCCCATAGGACCAGCATATGCTCTGTTGGTGTCCTCTGCCAGAATCAGCCAGCTCTTGGCTCACCGTATTCTGCCAGTCCCGATGTTCTATATCTATGAGCAGGCAATTCCTAAGACTACTTTTTAAATCCAGCAGCAGACCCTGTGGATGGCTCTGTTCTTTAGCTGGTGGCTTAGGGGTTCACTCTACATCCCCCAGAAGCACCAACTCTGCCTTGCCTCTTACCAGGTTATTACTGAGAAGGGTTTAGTCCTGAGCTATAGGGTTTCTCTATAGCTTTGGAGCCTGTCCTGAAACTCACTCTGTAAACCAAGCTGGCCTCAAACTCACAGAGATCCCCTGCCTCTGTCTCCCGAGTGCTGAGATTAAAGGCGTGCGCCACTATCACCACCTGGCCTGGGCTACAGTTTTGATTCCATTTATTTTTTTCTATTTAGAACTAAAGGGCTGTCTTGTGAGACTGAAGAGAACCTTGAGCTTGTAAAATCCCAACCCAGCCTGGGCCCCACAGCTGCCCCACACTCCGCATGCTCTCTGCCTGGACCTGACCTCCCTGACTCTTACACCCCAGTTATGTCTACCTTAGGGTTTATAAGACGGTTTGGGAGTCTGAGATGAGGATGCCACAGCAGAGCCAGACGTTGGACAGACACATTTATTCCCAGAGCTGTAAATCCATCAGCTCCCTTCCAGCACCCAGCCAAGGCCAGCCTGACTGCAATACCCTGCCCCAGGCCTGCAGCACTGAAATCGGAGTCCCAAGGCATCCATCATGAGTTATATGTGCATATACATGGGATGGAGTCCTGGGTGGCACCTGGAGGTGACCTAGAGGCAGGAGTTTCATGAGGGTGACCTGTCACAACCTCCAGAGGTAGGAAATCTCCAGCAGCAAAGTCAGAGTTTGGTGGCCTGTGTGGGCAGAAGAGGAAGTTCCAGTTAGTTTCCAAAGGACATATATGAATTCTTGCTCCTGAGACAGCACCCCTCACCCCCCACACACAAACAACTTTCTCCCAGGGAGGAGGGTTCAGTGTGGGCCAGAGCCCTGAGCAATGGCACAGACTTTCTCCAGTTGGGGTCAGGGTGGGGATAAGCAACAGATTAACAAAACTGCTCAGTGGGCCAGAGTCAGCTTACTGAAGCAGGGCTCTTAGGGCCAGACTTCCGGTGGTGGAGGGCAAAGGTCACAGCGTCATGGACAGAGACAAAAAGATGCTGCTTAGTGATATCGTCACCAAAGAAGTGTCCGGCCTCAAGCTGGGTGATCACAGGACCTGTGGGCAAGAGGAGGCCTGACAATCGGTACACCAGGAGACCCAGTTCCCAGACACCCCTAGGATTCTGACCCCTGTTACCCCTGAGGCTACTTACAGATAGAAACCCAGTCACTCCTATGTCTGTGCATATGTGTGTGTTTGTGTGTTTATGCCTGTGTTTGTCTATATGTCTGTGTGTGTGTGTGTGTGTGTGTGTCTGTGTGTGTGTGTGTGTGTGTGTGTCTGTGTTTGTCTATGTGTGTGTGTGGACCTATGTTTGTCTATGTCTGTGTGTGTTTGTGTGTGTATGTCTGTGTTTGTCTATATGTCTGTGTGTGTGTGTGTATGTCTGTGTTTGTCTATATGTCTCTGTGTGTGTATGTCTGTGTGTGTATGTCTGTTTGTCTATATATGTGTGTGTATCTGTTTGTCTATGTCTGTGTGTGTGTGTTTGTGTGTATGTCTGTGTGTGTGTGTATGTCGATGTTTATATGTCTGTGTGTGTATGTCTGTCTATATATGTGTGTGTATCTGTTTGTCTATGTCTGTGTGTGTGTGTTTGTGTGTATGTCTATGTGGGTGTGTGTATGTCAATGTTTATATGTGTGTGTGTGTATGTCTGTGTGTTTGTGTGTGTATGTCTGTGTTTTGTCTATATGTGTGTGTATCTGTTTGTCTGTGTGTGTGAGTGTGTGTGTGTGTGTGTGCTAATTACACCCAGAGGACACAGCAGCACCTCAGATGTTCTGTTCTTATAACTGTCAACCTTATTCCCTTGAGTCAGGGTTTCTAACTAAACCCGGCACTCTATCTTGGCTAGACTGGCTAACCAGATAGCTCCTGGGAACCATCTGTCTCTACCCACTGAAGGCTACCATTATAGGCATGCGTAGACATGTCTGGCTTATTTTACATGGTGCTTGGGATTTGAACTCAGGTCCTCATATGTGGGCAGCACTGAGGCATCTGAGCTCAGCACTTATCCACCGAGCCATCTCCCTAAATCCTACTCCCGAGTCTTGACTCCTCCCTCCCAAGACCAGCAAATGTAAGAAAAAGATCTTTTTCCTTGTGCTGTCTGACAAATTCCTGGACCAGAGAGTCCCATCCTCTGCCTGCATTGCTATTGCAGTTCCCACACAACGCACTGTAACAGGCTGCGATGTACACTTCCACCTCGATCTCCCGGAAGTCTCGGAAAATCTGCAGCAACAAAGAGGGCTGGCCTTAGAGAGGCAGCAGCTGGGCAAGATTTAGGTGGACCTCAGAGGGGCTTGGTTAGGGCGGGGCTCAGAAGTCTCAAGGCAAGTGGTGGGGTCAGCATAAAGGCTGGAGGGTCCCAGCCTGCCCACAGTCCCTTACATTCTTCAGGGTCTTAATGCACACGGTATCCACAAAGGAGAGAGTGCTCAGGTCTAGGATGAGGGTATGGAAGCCTGGCTGGGGCAGGCCCAGGGACTTCAGTGTGTTCATGGTTGGAGCCTTGACAGTTTCTTGATTGCTGGTAACTGTATCCTCCAGCTCCTCCCTCTGGTGTACCTGCAGGGGATCCAAATGTACTAAAGGACCATCCATGATAGAGCACACGGTATACAGGGACACAGAGAGTCAGACCAAAACTATAAATGCATGTAAAAATACAGAGATATGAAGGTGTGCGTGAGACACATAAGGACACAGACAAAGATTGATAGGAGAGACATGTGGATCTATAAACACAGGAGGGACACGTAGGGACACAGGAAAGCATACTCCAACATGGACAAACTGCTTTGTTACTTCCTGGGCCAAAGCTTAATAGAGAAACAAGAAGGGAGTGTTCTGGGAGATCATGTCCCATCTTTAGCCAAACAGGGTAGAGTGGATAGGGGCCTAGGGAGAGACGAGATGGCCACAGGCTTTCATGCACCTACTCATCATACACACCTTACACCCTGATCTGTCTGAATCTTTGGTTGACTTGGCTCTTGACCCCTAGATTTTCTTCATGTTCCCAAGCCCTCTCCTCTCCCCATGGGCACAGACTGTGGGGTCTTGTTACGTCTATATAATCAAGGTCTTTATCTAGATCAGTCTGGGATTATTGACAAGAGCCAGAGGAGAATTTGGTACCACAGGGTCTTTCTGAAGTGTCAGAGCTGACACCCTGTTCCTCCCATCATTAGCCCAATGCCTTGAACCCACACTAGCAGGTCATAGCTTTTCTCATGCAACACATGTGGGCATCTATGCAATTCTTGGCTGGTCCCTCCTCCCATTTGGAGCCTCACCTTGGCCTCGGAGTCCTCCATGTCATTGCTTTTGATGTCTTCGAAAGTGGTGTTGACATTGACTGAAACTGAGGAGATCTTGGAAGAGGTGCCCTAGTAGAGACAAGGGATGATGAGAAAGCCAATCCAAGTGCCATATGACAGCCATGCCAGGTAGACCTGGTATTGCCCCTGGCAGTGGGCAAAGAGCCTAGGACCTAGGCTGCAGGCCAGAGATGTTTTAACAGTGAGAGGGACCTGCTGTGGTTCACACTGTGACTAATACAGGAGAAGCACATAGCATCTCTAGAGCTTGTCTTGCCCTGCCAGGGGCTGAAACAGGGTCCCTGGAGTGCTGAGGAAGAAAGGGGAGGGACAAAGAGAAGTGAAGAGAAAGGACAGGGGTGAGCAAATGGGACAAGGGCCAGACTGGGAGGAAGGCCAAAGGATCATGGAATGGCTGAGGGTCAGGGTTGGGTCCACAGTAGGGCTGGGCCAGGAGGGAGCTGCTGAGGGGAACTCCACCTGTTTCTGGGACTTCTTGGCTTTCTTCATTCGTTTCATCTTCATTTCCTGCTTTTTGATTCGTTTCTTTTTCTGGGAGATGAGGTGGTCAACATCCACACCACACTAGAGAGACAAATCAGGGCTAGGGTTGGGTACTCGGGGAGAGCAGGGGCATCTGGACCCCACACACACACACCAAGCATGGGGAGCCCGCCTCACCTTCTGCTTCAGTGAGTCACTGTAGAGCTCGGCATTGGCAAAGTAAATGGTGGCTGAGGAGCGGAAGACCTTTACTCCAGGGACCTCCTGGGCCTGGAGATGAGGTGGGGTTGTGTGGCCGAGCCTTCCTTGCCTTTACTGCATCCTCTTACTCAGCTCTCCTCTCTCAGAAAGCCTGCTACCCTCTGCCCCCAGTCTGTGGCCGATACCCTTCCAGGAGTCTGGGCCATAAGCCTAGCTACATCACCCTAGCTCCCTGCGTTGTTAAAGTCTGGTCCCTCCTAACTATCCTGTCTTTCACCAGATTTCATAGTTCAGCTCTCAGCATGCCCCCTACCCCTGTCCCTGAACCTCTCACCCCTGCCCACCCATGTTTTCTGTATGCAGACAGAAGAGTCACCCTAAGCTGTCACCTAAATTATCATTCCACTCATACCTGCCCCAGTTCTCGCCTGCTCCATCCATCCACAGCCCAGGTCTCTCCTGGGCATTTGTGCCTGTACCACGTGCGGCTGGCCGCTCCCCTCATGCCTTCACCTAGACCCCTCATTCTGCTCTTTATTCTGCCTAATCATACTGCAGTCAGCCTCCAAGGCTCCAGGCCAAAGTGACAGAGCTGATTTTATTCTAGACTCTCACACAGCCTTTGTTCTCGTGGCATACATGACATGAGGCTTTTTATACAAACTAGCACTGGGGACTTTGTATTCCCACTGAACAGACCAGGAAACAACCTCCCTACATCCTGTGCCCCCTCCCTGCCATTCCTTTCTTTTGACCCAGACATACTCTACAGGGTAGGGCTTTGTGCTCTGGGCTCAAGACTGATTCTTCCGCTCATGCACTGAACAGGGCCACACACGGGTGTGCACCTTGCATGCGAAGACATTGGCTATCTTCCTCTCTGGCTCTTCACCTTTGAGATAGGGTCTCTTACTAAACCTGGAGCTTACCAACTGGCTAAACTAGCTGGCCAGTGGGCCCCAGAGATCCTCCCACCACTGCCTTCCAAGCACCGGGGTTACAGACATGCGTGCTGCCAAGCCTGGCATTGTATATGGGTTCTGGGGATCCAAATTCAGGTCTTCATGTTTGCAGAGCAAATAGTTTATCCACTGAGCCATTTTCCCAGTCCAGCCCCCGGTGTTCTCGTCCATGTGGAAGGGAATAAAAAGGGCCCATTTATCTTGTCCGCCCCACCTCCCATTTAGCCTTGCCACTCACCCCTGAGTATTCTGCCACGTCTCTATAAATATCCGTATCTGGCACTTGCCCCAGGATAGAGTAATGGGGCCTGAGGAGAGAGTTGGGGGGAGGCAAAAAAAAAAAAAAAAAACAAGTGAGAGGGAGAGGGGCA